TGGAAGCGCATAATCAGCATCTCCCAGATGTCTTAGGCATTTTAATGGCAGGGACACACTCAAAGTTCCCCAGATGCCTCAGATACTTTCTTTTTTTTAGGGATCGACCCTTGAATAGCTGTCTCTTATCTTGGGCCCTGCTGGAGGGAGGTCTCTGGAATCCTTGAGTATCCTTGGCAGAGTAGGGAGAAAGTGTAAAGGGTCAAGCCCAGTCTGGTCAGTCCCACCAACGGGAGAGTCTTGGGATCAGAAGATTTCCACCTGAAAGGACGAAAGACAGAGGGGGCATTTGTTCTTACTGCAGATGGCTGACTTACCCAGAGATAACAATGAAAAACTCAGATGTAAAAGACCACCTGTCACGCTATCTCAGGACCGCCTTAATCACCTCATCCTAAATCCCTTTCCTTTAAAAGTCCCTAAATGGGATCATCAGGTGGCATAGTGGTTAAGGTGCTGGGCTCCCACATGCGCACCTCAGTTTGAGTCCCAGACCTGGCAGCTTGCTTTCTCCCTTTCTCTCTCTCCTTCTTGTGTTTGTGTGTGTGTGTGTGTGTGTGTGTGTGTGTGTGTGTGTGTCTGGTGAACACATACACCCTATAACAAACTAAAAAATAAATTCTAACAAATAAAAAATAAATTAAAATAAAATAAATTAAATTAATAATTAAAATCAATAAGTAAAAGTCTCTAGCCTCCCTCTCCCCCTTTTCAGGCCTGATGGAACTCTCCACATCGGCCCTGGTTTCTTCTTCGGAAAGTGAATGAACCTTTTTTTAGCTACTTTAAAAAAGAAAAGAAAAGAAAAGAGAAGAAAAGAAAAGAAAGAAATTGTTTTCTATATAGCCTGAAAACTTTTGAGCCATGTTGGAAAGTCAACTCATTTGGGAGAGAAATAAATTAATAATATCAAATGTTATCATGACCTTCTTCAGACTTGATTCTGTCTCCAAGTCACAGACTCACAAAGCAAAATCCAAAGAACTTTATAAAATGTTCTGGAGAATAGGACATACTATTCCAAAGAAGACAAACTAGAAAATCAAGTTGATTTAGTAATCTTATTAATATCTGGTCATAAGTTTAAAGGTTCATATAATTTCAGAGTTGAAAGGAACCAAAGCTCAGTTTGTTCCAATACACAAGGCAATTATTCTGATATGCATTATACTCATGAGTAAAAAAGAACAGTGTAAGACGAGGAAATGAAAGATACATTTGGGCTTGCAAGCATTTGATAGCAAAATATATATGTTGATATATAAAAAAAACTTCTGATACAATAAAAAGACAACCCAATTTTACAAATCTTTTAAAGATTTTTGCCATAGGGTGTGTGCCCTTGCTGGAGAGAGACAGAGAGAAACAGTGAGAGGGAAAGTGAGAAATCATCCCTTAGGGGGAATGGCCACACCACAACCCCTTCTGATCCCTTCTTCTCTCAGGATTTTGGGCATTCAAGCACATGTACCCAGCATGATTTTCAAGCCACCATGCCCAGGACTCAAACTGCAGTCCTCCATGTGAGACTTCGTTAACTACTATGCCACCTGCTGGCCCCAACCCAATTTTAAATGAGCAAAATGAATAGACATTTCTTCAAAGAAGTTTGTTTTGTTAGCTTTTTGTTTTAAGAGATATTTCTGCTATAGGTCATCCGCATTCATCAGAGAGACAGAAAGCAAAAAATCAGCCATCCAGGGAGAATGGCCACACTGCAATCCCTTCTCCAGTCTCCTCTTGGGACTATGGGCACACATGCACACACATTCAGCGTGAGTTTTAAGTTGCCGGGTCCAGGACTCAAACCACGGTCAACTACATGGGAGTCCAGCAGCATAACTATTACACCATCTGCAGGTCCCTCAAAGAAGATTTTGTGGCTAATAAGCACATGAAAGAATGTTCAATATCATTAGTAACTAGGGAAAAAGACACCATGAAATACAGTTTACAACCACTAAGATGACCATTAAACAAAATAGTAATGAAAGTAGCAAGTCTTTGGTGAGGGCATAGAGAAATTGGAATCTTCAGCATTTCATTGCTGGGACTGCCAAATAGTTCAACTGTGATAGAAAAGTTTAGTGGTTCTTTGAAAAGTTAAACAGAGTTATAAATATGATCTTGCAGTTCTACTCCTAGGTATAGATGTATAAAGTTAGACACAAAATGCCTTATATTGTATAATTTTTTTATACAAAATGTGTAGAACTAGCAAATCAATAGAAGCAGAAAGCAAATTAGTGGTTGCCAATGGATGGGAAGAGAGGCTAATGGGGAATATCTATTTAATAAATATGGTATTTCCTTTCCAGATGATAAAAAAAAGTTCTAGATTTAAATGGTAATGACAGCTGCACAACAATGAGAATGTATTTAATGGCATTGAATTGTATACTTTAAAATGTTAAAAAGGGTTACTTTCATGCTTTGTATAATTTACCACAATAGAAAAAATTTTTTTCTAATTTGCTTACTATAGGAAGGAACCATTAATAATTATGTTTTCAATGCCCCTCCTCATTTCAAAGAAATTGACTATCTGCAGGACATGGAGACTCCTTCGGACCATCTATCGCTGCCAATACGTGATTACTACTGAACATGGATACTAATAGCCTCCTGAGGCAATTACTTAAAAATAAAAAGAAACTAGGTTCAACCATAACACTTTCAAATAAGATGAAATATATGTTAGTACTATTACCAAATTGAGAATGTCCTATCACCAGTGCAATAGTCTCTAAAATCGCAACAAACTTTGATAGACACTGACGCTCAACTCTTCATCTTTCTAAGAGTTCAATTCCTTTATCTATAGAATGAAGCACTGTGATTTTAAGACAACTAGAGTCATAAAATTGTGCAACTCTAAAACTCATTAATAAAAATAAATAATACTGAATAATAATAAAAATGACCTGTGAATTAACAGCCAGAAACAACTGGCAGAACAGCCCTCCCAACTGCCCTATTCTTAACCATGTTAATCCAGTCTTCTTTCTGTTATATTAGAACCTCTTTGGGAAATTTTCTCTATTCATACAATAACTAAGTATCGCTTTGGCTATGGATTTTAACCTTGGTTTCTGTATCTGAATAGTAAGAACAAAAAGAGACACTGCAAGTGATTGTTAAGTTCCAAGTATCATTTTTGCAATAAGGTACATTTGGTAACAATAACATCTATTGGGTCCAGCTTTTTTAACTGGAACTTCATTCTAATCTCCTGAAAGAACATCCTGTTACTTATCTGATAGACAAATAAAAAGGCCCTGGAGCCCTAAAGATCTCTAAGACTTTGCAGTATTCTTTGACACAAAGGGGGAGAATGTCTTGTCCATGTTTCATTAGGGACTGCTGGAAGGAACCCAAGGTCGTGCTGCTTCTGTCCAAATGTCTTACATAGTTTTTATTTCCAATTTCAGTCTAATCGATTTCACTAACTGGATGGCTAGGTACAGTTAGAATGGGTCAAAAAATAACGTACACCTGTCTTCCAAGTGATTCTGGATAGGGTTTTACTATTCTGAAATTAAAGATAAGTAAAGCTGT